CCGGGGCTGGCCCGGCCTTGCGAAGCGTTGTGTAAGTGCCGGTGCCCGGTGCCTGCGCGTCGTTTCAGCCCTTGGGAGCGCAGGGCTGCTTCCCTCTCCGGAACCGCGCTCCGGTGCGGGCGGGCGGGCAGCCCCCCTCGGCCTGCGGGGATCGTCTGCGTTCTCCGCACGCAGGCGGGTGCTGCGCTCGGGTGCTCGTCAGCGAGAACTGTTCCAGGCGCTGTTTTTAGCCGCGGGAAGTAAATAAAAATCCACCCGCGGCCGGTCAGGTGGACCCTTCGTGACGGTACGGTTTGAGTTACGGCGCGATAAGCCCCCGCGCTCTGAGCTTGTGTTTCCGTCTCGCCTTCAAAGTGTAACTGGCGCTGCCAGTTAAGGTTTTGTGGGTGCACAAAAAAGGTTTTGAAATACAATTTTATTTTTCTTTTTTTAAAATACTTGCAGCTGTTGTCCGCTGCACGTTTGAACAGTGTAAATATTGGGGCATTTGCCAGTAAATCTCAGAAGAGGAGCCCGCAATACGTGCTCCTTCCTTCGTGCTGCTCCTGAAGTTCTTTGTGTGTGAACAGGGGTTTCTTCTTCCACAGGCTTTGTCTCCTCCTTCCCGAGGCTTCGGTATGTGACAGCCCAGTATGTGCGTGCCGCGGGGGATAGGGAACGGCCAGCCAGCGGAGCTGGTTTGTGTGCAAATAACTTTGCTTGCACAAGGGGCGGGAAAGGAAATAAAAGGAAGTCGCGGTCACTGGGTGAGCGCTAGAAGCTTTAACATTACCAGGAACTTGGTGTTTAGAGGGGAGCTGGAGATCTGTCGTAGGCCGTTACAGCTTGTTTTCATCCAAAAAGTGTTTAAAAAGGGTACTTGGAGAACGGACAGCATCCACCACTTGACCTACTTAGCGTCCGTGTGTCTGAGCAGCCTGCCGTCCCGCCGTCTCCCGTTCAGACGCTGCAGAAAGCGGTGCTTCTGGCCAGGCGCTCGCACGCAGCTCCCCGGGAGTGGGGAGAGGGCCGGGGCAGCGCCGAGATGCCGGAGGTGCCACGTGGGCAGAGGAGCGTGCTCCCCGAGTCGCTGCCGGGAGGGTGGGGCGTTGAGAAACAGCTGTTTCTCCCATCGGGATCCTTTTAATTCCTCCCACCCCAAATCCTATTCAGACACGTCGCTTATCGAACGAATCCCGTTTGGATCCCAAGAGCAGTGTTAGTTGGATCTGTCAGAAAAAGCCTTTAAGTAAAGGCAGCGTTTGCGGCCTCATCCTGCGCTCCAGCCCCACGGCTGCTCAGCAAAGCCTCCTTAGTGGAAACTGCTCCGGTGTGGGATATCGGGTGGCCCTCGGCTGCCTCTCTCCTTCCTCGCGTGAGGCAGCGGTGACAAATACCACGATGCAGTGTGAAATAGTGTCCCTTCTCAGCTCCCCGGGAAGCGCCCTCCTGTCCTGTAAGTGCATTTAACCCATCTGAAACCAGAGCACCGTGTGCTTTGTGCGTTATTCCCTTCCCTACCTGCCCCCGAGTTCATGTGCTCCACAGAACAGTGGTATTTGTTTAATACTGGCTAACCTGCGCGTGTACTAACAGCCGGCCAGTTTGTGTTTGTTGGGAGAGAAGTCAATATGCTTGTGACTCGTTAACTCTGGTAAAATTAAGTCCTTTCTTGTGACTGTTGCTGTCAGTGGAGATGCTCAGGCTTCTCCCTAGGACGGCTGCATCCAGGAGCCGCTGTCTAGCTGGGAGTCGGTAGGAAGATGAAGTCCTGGTCTTAGGAAACACTTGACACCTGAGCTGGCAGCTGCGTCAGAGAGCGAACGGTCGCAGGATGACTTTGCACGGCTGTCGCGGTCCTGAATGGAGCCGTGATCTGTTGGGGTGTACGGGAGCCGAGGGATCCGCTCGGGCAGCGGTGGCGGCTCCCGTGTCGGGAGGAGCAGTGGTTGCCTCCCAGGGTAAGACCAGCGGGGTTGATAGGGAAGTGGTGGGGGTGCCCTGCGAGCCGTGAGGTGCCCCCGGTGCTGAGCCTGTGGACATGGGGACGGTCAGCTGGTGGGTCACCCGCCGGGGTCGTCCCGAGCCTGTCCTGGCAGGGCGTGTGCCGACTGTCCCGTGTCATCTCCCTTGCTGTGTGTGTGACATCGCTGTGAGTGGATTTTGCCCCCCTGATCTGAGTTGCTGCCCCCCGTGTGTTGGCGTTGCCTATCAGCTTGCCTCTTTGTGGTCTTCTTACAGACTTTGATTCTAAGAAGAAAAGGAAAGTGGCGGAAATTTATCAGGCTCTGAACAGCGACCCTATCGACGTGGCCACGCTCAGGCGGATGGCGATCAGCGAGGGGGGGCTCTTGACGGATGAGATTCGTTGCAAAGTGTGGCCGAAGCTGCTAAGTGTTAACACAGACGACCTGCCCCCTCTTCCAGGTACGGAACAGCCTGGACTCGGGAGCTTTTGGCAGAACGGCTCGGTGATCTCTGTGCACGCTAGAGGAAGGATCGCAGAGGTTGAAGCACGTGCTTTCTGACCTGCCTTTTCCCTGTGTACGCTGGTGTGTTTCCCACCAAGCTCGTGCGCAAAGGGGGCTCGCGCTGCAGCATGCCCGCCGTAGCTTCGCGCGCTGTGTTGTATGTAAATGGCAGATTTGGAAATACGCGACTTCCGAAAAACAACATTTCCGTTGTGCTGTGAGGGTGGTGTTATCTCTAGTGGCAGTGATGGAAATTAGTTCACTTTGGTTGAAAGTGGTTGAAATTAGTTCACTTTGGTTGAAAAATAATTTCACACTTCGGTTGGTGTGGCCCTGAGCAGTTAGCCGGCATCTGTAAGTTCATCTGCAGCAGAAAGTATCAAACTTAATTTGTGTTGCTCCCACGGAGAGGTGGCTGTGCTGAGCCCTGGCTTGGCCGAAATACTTCGGAGGTGTCTCTTCCAGGCATAGACGAAGCAGTTTGTTGCGTGAAGCACGTGTGGTGTTTGGTCAGAGCAGGAGCAGGGAAAATGACCTTCCTGATGAGGTACCTGCGTGGTTTTTAAATCTTACCAGTGCAGAAGCTCCACGTCCTGGAGCTTTTACAGTCACTGTCCCCAGGACAGATTTTTGCTGTTGTTCCTGGATCTGTGGCCATTCAGAATTGTGCATCCCCCCGCGTCAGTCAAGAGATGGATTATGTTAGGTGATCGGAGCTGCTGGAAGACAACATTTAATTTCACGTGATCGCATAGATTGTCCAGTGTGCCAGCAAATTCTTTTCTCTTCTGTCTTAACTATCTTAACTACCCATGGGTGGGGTTTGCTTCTGAATTATTTCTATTTAATAAACTATTCTTTGTCGTCTCCACAGCGTATCATGCCTTGCTGCTGCTGAGTATGCTTTGAATTGCACAACAAAACTGTGGAGCAAAGATGTTTCCATGAATGCTGGGAGTGGTGTCAGTTTAACCATTTTAACGTATGTTGTTTAAAGAAATAATAGTCTCGTTTGCTCGCACTGAAGTGCCGTTAGTGTCGGAACGCGCGGCAGTGCAAGTGAGGGGACAGGGCTGGTGTGTGAGGTACGAAAAAGGGGACGTACGATGGGGTGATGTGTCTGTGTGTGCAGCCTCATCCTCCTGCCCTCAGCAGGGTTTCTCCCGGCTCCCTCGCCCAGCTCTCTTCCCGGTACCTTTGCACTACTCAGTGTTAATCACAGTCATCTTTTTCTCAGCAGGAAAGGAGCTACGAGAGGACAATAAAGATTACCAGCAAGTGCTACTGGACGTGCGGCGATCCCTGCGCCGTTTCCCACCAGGTGAGAGGGGATTCTCCTCTTCCCGCTCTGCGGGGGGAAGGTCTGTGCTGTGGGGCTCCTCCTGGCTCAGACCTTGCTCGGGGGGTTGCAGTAGGTGATACTCCGTTGCTCCGACTTCTAGAGAGCCTTTTCCTTGTGAGCTTACAGCAGCTTCTTCATGCAGTGGAGCTATTCTGCGGCTATCGGTTTCCTTCAGCTGGCTGTGCTACAGCTGGTTTTTGATGTGGCTCTTCCAATGTTACGCTTCCCCCTGCCCCGCTGAGCCCCTCTGCCAGCAGGCCGGTGCCGTCGAGCAGTTGCAGCGCAGAGGATCTGCCCAGATCCTGCGTGCCCCTCACCTGTTGTCACCAGGGTGAGATTAGGATAGATGGAGTGCTTGAGAAATATACCGTTTGCTTCAGTTTATTTTAGACCGTGGTCTAGCTCAGGGGCGTGGCAGGCAGGTTTGTCAGTGGTTAGAACAAATTCTGGTGTAAAATGGTCTCAAAAATCGGGTTCATGCACCAAATTTAAGAGAACTCTGAGCCTTTAGAAGCAAAATCTTTTTGCAGTTGTTTAGTTCTGATGGGTGGCTGGTGCCTACTTGTGCTATTTATAAAACATTTAATCCAGCAGCTGTCTGACTCTGGCCAGAATCTGCTTCCCCCTTCTGCTGCTTTTATTTTGCGTAAACAGTTGATTCACTCTGGTTCTCTTTCGAGTGCAGATACTGTGTGCAAGCCTGATTCCTGAAGGGTCTGCTAGTACGGATTTTTTTGCCCTTGAATGGCAGCCTCCTGCCTATTTTTAGATGCACTAATGAAGCAGGGGAAAAGGAGAACTTTGTCATTGCAGGATCTCCGCTGGGACTTTCTGCTTGGCCTTTGGGCGTTTTATCTGTTGACAAGGGCTGCCAGAAACTGGCTGCAGCTGTGCATGGCAGGAACAATGTTTTTCCTGTGACATCCTGTCCCTAAACACGTTGTTAGCAGGGGACTGACAGAAAGTTGTGGGCGATGGAGGCCTTGCAATCTGATGCAGTTGGCGCAGTTGCTGCGAAAATGGGTCCTGTTTTAATTTTTTTCTAGAACCCCTGGGAAATTAAAAATGATTAAAATGTCCTTAGCGGTGCTGGATGTGCAGCGCGATTCGCTCTTGGCAGCACTGTACAAACATCAGTAAACCCCGCTCCCGTTCTCCACGGTGACTTCCTCGCAGGCAGGGGCACTGCAGCTCCAAAGGTTAAACAACCTAACAACTGGCTGGCTTCCCTGGGCCGTCAGGGTTTGGGGGGGCAGGATTAGGACTCGGGATATTTTTTTCTGCTAGTTTTACCCCCCCCCTTCCCCTTTGCACCGCATCCCTTGGGATCAGGCAGGTTGGTAAATGCATGGGTCCTCTCCTTGCATACCGCAGCCGCGCTCACTCCCACGGCAGGCGCCGATAGGTGACACAGCCTGTCCCACCGCCGCCTGGTGTTGTCCCCACAGGGATGCCAGATGACCAGAGGGAAGGGTTGCAGGAGGAGCTCATCGATATTATCCTCCACGTCCTCAAGCGCAACCCCCAGCTGCACTACTACCAGGGCTACCATGACATCGTGGTCACCTTCCTCCTGGTGGTGGGGGACAGACTGGCCACGGCTCTGGTGGAAAAGCTCTCGACGCATCATCTCAGGTACTCACCGGGCTCAGCTGGGGGAGAGGAGCCGCCTGCGTGTCCTCAAGCTGTGGGGTCACCTGTGCCTGCGGGGAAGCCTGTGCCGATGGGTTGGCCTGTCCCGGAGCAGGGGAGCCTGGAAGGCAGAGCCTTGGGTTAAGGCCGGCTGCCTGTCATGTCTGTACCCAGAGGGGTGCTTTGAGAGAGCAGCGTGACCACACGTGGCTTTGCAGGGAGTTGTGCTCTGGGGAGGGGATAATTGAAGGCTGTCAGATTAATTTGTAACATCTCTTGAAGTTGAAAAAGCCAACGCGCATGCATTATTCATAGTTCTCTGGCCATCTCCGCTGTCAGGGCCTCTCCGGCTCCTGGGGGCTGGCTCAGCACAGTGCCTCCCACTTAGCCTCGTACAGCCCTGGCCAGCGTGGTCTGTACCGCCAGTGTCCTGAGCCCCAAGTCAAATGACTCTCCTGTTTGTGCACTGAAATGAGAACAAGCCTTCAGCTGAGGAGTGATTTGGAGGGATTCTCCCTCCTCTCCCAGACAAGGAGTTAGGTTTTGGGTGCTGGAAAGGCTTTACAGTTCACATGTGCACTTCAGCAGAATAAGAAGTGTCAGCTGACACCGGCGTGATTGTTTGGGTCTGGGTTTTCTGTGCAGCAGTTCACATGCACTTCAGCAGAATAAGAAGTGTCAGCTGACACCGGCGTGATTGGGTCTGGGTTTTCTGTGCAGATCAGCCCTGTGTGTCCCAGAAAAGCAGGAAGGAGGCTGTCCCAAATAGACAGAATTCCTTGGGGCTGGGGGCCACCCTGCCAGCAAAGCTGTTTATTGCAAGTACATCTATTTACCTTCTGGCTGCCTCCCTGGAGGAGAGCTCGCTGATGTAGTTGTTTGACGGACCTTCTTTTAAATCTTTCCTCAGGGATTTTATGGACCCAACGATGGACAATACCAAGCACATTTTAAATTACCTGATGCCCATCATAGACCAGGTGAACCCTGAGGTGCATGACTTCATGCAGAGGTACGCAGACGTTCCCTCGGAGCCTCCTAGCTCTGTCCTGCCAGTCTCGCGTTACTGTTCATGGGGCCGTTTGCACCAGCATGTCCCCGGCACCACAGTGGCTTCCTCAGAGTGAGTCAACAGCTGACCCACAGCTAACGGTGACAGTCCAAAGCCATGTGGCACTCTGCTTCCGAGCAGACCCAAACCTATGCTGCCTGTTTGGAGGGGTTTTACACGGTGCCATCTTCACCCCAGTGGTCTGCAGTCCATATTGGAAAGGCTGCAGGGTTGCAAACGGTGCCATACAAAGCTGCCACGACTGCTTCACACGCCCAGTTTTGTGGTCGGTGTCACCTTGCTGTAGTTTGTTGCTAGTTCTGGGGATAATTCCCAGGTTGTGCAATAGGGACACGCAAGTGTAGTCCGGACAGAATAAAGCAGAAGCAGGAAGGTAGGTGGGAAGGTTCAGTCCGGAGTCCTTTTCTGGGCAAGTGTCTCTGTTACATTTCACGGCCAGGACGTCTTTGGGTACCAAGCTTGATTAGAAACTCCCAGAAGTTAGTAAGCCTTTAGGGTGGAAAGGAATGTAGAAAGTTGACTGTGCTGCAGGACTTCAGGTGTCCTCAGGTCAGTGTGCCAGACAGTGACGTGGTACGTCACACGTTCAGGTTCTCCTGAAAGCAGAGCATTTGGACCTCTACTGTGGACCCCGCTGGGTGCGAGACGAGTAGTGGCAGTACTTTGCCTTGGGGTTGTATCAGAGGTGCAGTTCATGGATCTGTGCTGAGCGCTGAATGCTCTGCTGATAGCCAGGTCTGTCTCCCCTCCCAGACATGGAGGTGCGGCGCAGGGATCGCCCAAGAGCATTTCGGCGCTGTTTCCAAGCTGCTGGCAGCAGCTGCCCTAACAGCACTTTGTCTCTGTGCAGTGCGGAGGTGGGAACCATCTTTGCTCTCAGCTGGCTGATCACCTGGTTCGGGCACGTTTTGTCCGACTTCAGGCACGTTGTGCGATTATACGACTTCTTCCTGGCTTGCCATCCGCTGATGCCCATTTATTTTGCTGCTGTGGTAGGTACTGGCTGGAATGGTAGGGGGATTAACTGAACCATTGCGAAGTGCTGATAGCTTGGGGCTGCAGAGGGGGGCTGGCAAAGCCAGTGCTGCTGCTGTCCCTGGCTGCACCCCGCTCTGCAGGGGCCCCCCAAGGCCGGCGATGTCCTTGGTGGTGGTGGAGGGCAGGTGGGATCCAGGGGAGCTCGGGGCAGCCTGGGGGTGTCCAGATGTGCAGGCTGTTCCAGTTCAGTGCCGTGGAGGCAGCATGACCTGGTGTTTTGCTTTGCTTTCATGTGCTGGCCCTGCTGCTGGGCACTTGCTCGAGTGCTGGGGAGCCTGGCTGGCTGGGGGCAGCCCTGCACTGTGCGTCCATCTGCCCTTTCTCCTGTGGGAGATCCAAACAAATCTCTGTTTGAGGGCAAGTCGTGGAGTCAAGCCCTGCTGAGGTTCTACCCACATCTCTGACCTGCCAGTAACAGGCTCTGCTCAGAAGACAGGTGTAACTACCCAGAAAGGGGCTTTCCATGGCCTCAGAGTCTCGGGAAGGGTTTGGCATTTCTCTTCCCAGGCGGGGAATGTTTCACTGCAGTGTGTCCCCTTGAGGAAGGGCAGGTCTTTCAGCTGGAAGCGAAATGTTTTTCTCTTCCGGCTCTGAAGGGAGTGCCAGCGAGTGACAAGAAGTCATCCCCGCTTCCCCAGCTGTCCTCAGTGCTCTCGCTCCTCTCTGCAGATCGTGCTGTACCGGGAGCAGGAAGTTCTGGACTGCGAGTGTGACATGGCCTCTGTCCACCACCTCCTGTCCCAGATTCCACAGGACCTTCCTTACGAGACTCTGATCAGCAGAGCTGGGGACCTTTTTGTCCAGTTCCCACCATCCGAACTTGCCAGGGAGGCAGCTCAGCAGCAGGCTGAACGGTGAGTGCAGGGCAGCCCGTGTGTTCTGTACATCCCCTTGCCAGGTCTTGCTTCCTCACGAAGATCTTCCTCCCTGGCAGGAGGCTGGTCCCAAAGGCGAGCTGGGGACGCTCCTCTACCTGTTTCTTCTCTTGCAGAACTGCGGCTTCTACTTTTAAGGACTTTGAGTTGGCGTCAGTGCAGCAGAGACCAGACACTGTGTTGAGGCAGCGCTTCAGGGAGCGGCTCCGAGGGGAGGAGCGGACAAAATCCATCTTGACAAAGCCAAGGACCAACCGCTTTGTCAAGCTGGCGGTGATGGGGCTGACGGTCGCGCTGGGAGCAGCTGCCCTGGCTGTGGTGAAGAGTGCGCTGGAGTGGGCACCCAAGTTTGAACTGCAGATTTTCCCCTAAAGCCAGAGGAAGGGCCTTCCCTGTCACCACGTCCTTCCCTGGCGGGAAGGGGTGATGTTTTGATGAAACGACGTGTCTGGAAACGACCTGTCTGAAGATTATTTTTTATTCTTGCTGCGTCCAGTGACGCTTTTGGCCTTTGCGACAGAGACTGATGGGAACCAGCCCAGCAGGATTGTTCCCCACACCGACGCTCACCTTGTTCTCTCCTCCCCGTGCAGGGGTGAGCAGATGGGCGCTACTGCCGTCTCATGAGGAACCGGAGGTATGGACGAGTCAGGCTCTTCAGGCTGCGCACAGGTGACTGTACGAGTGGAGAGCCGTGCGTGGGCTGTGCCGAAACGATCCCACGTTCTCTGTTGGAGATAATTAGTGGGAGTGAGGGTGGATCCTCACCTGGAGGAGAGTGTCATGGCAGGGTTTGGCCTGGGTGCGTGCGTGTGTGGGGGCGAGGGGCTGTTACACTCCTGAGGAACAGGGCAGCTCTCTGGCTCTGCATCGCTCCCGTCTGCAGGCTGCCAGCATGCCCCTGCGCCTGCGTTCAGCCTTGCTGGTGGTCCGACCCTTCCCTTTCCTATAGGCAACCTCTGAGTAGAGCCAAACCTTTCACGAACCCCTGTCAGCGCCCTGCCACGAGGTTCTCTCTGGTGTGTAACACTCCCTGGCTCTTTTTGCTTCCTCATCTTTGCAGCCTGATGTGTTTACAGGAGAGAAGGGCAGGGAACAGGAGCAGATCCACAAGACTGCCAGAGGGAGCTTAGCTCTCGGTCGCGGGGGCTCCTTCTCTGGCAGTAGCACGGTCATATCTTGGGTCAGCAAGGTGAGAGACGAGTGTTGCTCGCCCTGCCTGAGGTTTTTGCTGTCATGTGCCAGATCGCATCACCACAAGTCTTAGCGGCACCATAAACACCCGTTGCAGACGTTTTTACAGCTCTGGAAGCAGGCTCTAACGTGGAGAAAGGCTTTTTCCACCTTGTGAAACACTTTGCATGGGACAGAAGTCATTGTGGTAGGAAATCTGTCATAAATCTCCCCCACGAGCTGATCAGACTTCAGCGTTGCCCCTCGGAATAACGCAAGTGAGGGAGTTTCCCAGAAAGGCCACCCCTGATCCCTGCATAGCTCCGGTCTCCCCACCCAGTCCCGTTAACAGTCCTAGCGCTCCCTGCCCTCCAAGCTAAGCAGCAAATCCTTCTGACAACTCCGTGTCCCACTGAGACAAAGCCAATAGATACTATATGCCTCTACCTCTCCCCTGAGCTGCTAAACCTCCCGCAAGTGCCCTTACCCGTCCCTTACGGCTCCCACCCAGCTCCCCCGCCGTTGCTGTGTTGTGCCCAAAGCCGTCTGTGCCGTGCCCAGGGGCTGCACACCTGAAAATTAGGTGTTGGTTGAAGAGTTAGGGATTTCGGGATAGAGAACAAAACTTGTGCCCTGCAAGACTCAGCACCCTCCTGTCCCAACCCCCTGCCTGTCGGTTCGTAACCGCCTCTGGGTAAGTCCTGGGTTGCCCTGTGGGCCCTCGCTCTCGGAGGGGCCGTGCCTTTCTGACCGTCGGGCTGGCCGGAGGGCGTGCAGGCAGTCGTCAGGCCTGACCTGTGTTTCCGTAAAACTCTGAGCAGAGGGGTTTCCTTTGCCTCTGCGGGCTGAAAGCTGGAGTGTGTGAATCTGCTCTCGCGCAGGCAGGGCGGTGAGACCTGTTCCCTCTGCTGCTCGCTTGTGCCAGGGCTGTCCGCACCCCTGCTGCGAGCCGGCGGCTGCTCACGGGTCTCCTCTCCCACCGTGGTTGAAGGCGGTGGAGCCTGTTTCTGGCCCTCGGCACCTCCCCAGGGCAGCAGCGGCGTGGGGCGAAGGGCTGGGCGATTCAGCACTTTAGAAACTCGCGGTGCAGGAGAGTCTGTGGTGACCTGGGGGTGCTGCCGGCGGTCCCAGGACCCCTCTGTACACTCCCCCCGCTGCCCCGAAGGAGGGGATGGCTGGAGCCCCCGTGGGGGGAAGCCCCTGCAGCCCCCCCGCTCCCTGGCCATGAAGCACTTTAGTTCTGCGTTGTCCCCAGGGGAGGAAGGGCCTGGGAGGAGACGGTCGCTTCGGGTGCTTCGGTTACTCTGTACAAAGACTTATACCTACCCCTGTAAATGCAGATTTGTACAAACCCTATAACTGTAAAATAAACAGTTACTAAACACGCTTCCTTCCCTCCCCCTGTGCTGGCAGGGGCCGGGGCTGCCGGAGCCGCGTGGCACCCCCCGGGGCCCGGCTGGCCCATCCCCGCGGCAACCAGGCCAGCTCTGCGGTCGCCGACCCGTGTGGCCTCACACCCGGCAGCCCCGTGGGAAGAGAAGCAGGAGCAGAGCCAAACAGCGCTGGCGTGCCCCGGTTGCTGTTCTCCTTCCGTCTGCCTACCTTTGGTTAAACGCCAGGACTTGCACTTGCCGCCGGCACTCCAGGGCGTCTGTGTGTGTGTCCCCCTCCTCCATCAGCAGCACGGCGGGCAGAGCGGGGCTGTGAATGGCCTGACCTCCTGGCCCCTTTTGCACCCCAGGCCGGGCGCCCGGCTGCGGGAGGAGATCCCGGGCATGGTGCCCATGGGCAGAGGCCCGGCCCTCACCGCTTCCCCCGTGCAGCCTCCAGCGGCCGGGCATGCTCCGCTGAGCCGGGATGACGCAGCCGCCTTCCCCGGGCTGGGAACGGGCTTTGCTGGGCGGCACGAGGCTGGCGGCCGTGTTTAACGGATCGGGCCGGGGCTATTTTTGGTTCCCTGTGGCTTCCTCTCCGGGAGCGATCTTCTCAATAGCGTTCAAAGCCTTTTGGGAGGGAGACGCAGGCGGAGGCCCGCAGGGTGTGGAGGGCTGCTGGGGGGCTCGGTGGGGTTTTGGGGGTTGGAGGGCAGGCAGGGCTGCGGTTTTGCGGCAGAGGGAAGCCTGGAGAGCCAGCCAAGCACCGTTCCTTGCACCACGTGCCTCTGTTACTGCATTAATGTCATGCCCAGCTCTGGCACGCTGCCGGGGTGGGTGCCCTGCCGGGAGCCCGGACAGCGAGCCCAGCACCAGCCGAGGGGTTAAGCTGCCCAGCGGGGTCCCTCGCCTGCTGGCACAGAGCTGCCGCGTGCTCTTCCCATGTCAAAACGTCTTTTATTTACCCAAAAAGAGCACAATCAGGGAAGCGGTGGTCTGTGCAGATAGCCGGGTCCCTCCCAGGTGCTGTTGTGTGGGTGCAGCCTGGCACGCTGTGCACAGCTTGACACGGCTCAGCACCGTGCTGAGGGTGGGGGCCACGGCTGCGTTTGACCCCCCCGTACCTGCTCCCGGCCATGGCAGCTTTGCCGGTGGCACGGTCCCCCAGTTCCCTGAAGGCACGGGGTTGGGCACCGGGAGCTGACGGCGCACGCAGAGGCGTCCCAGCGGCATCCCGGTCCAGGTGGCTGCATCTTGCCACAGCCACCAGCTGCACTCCTGGGCACCTCTGCTCTCGGGCCCTGGAGCCCTCCTCTTCCTCTCCTGCTCGCCTTGCACCTCTGGGCACTTAACTGTGCAGCTCTTCCTCCCCATCCTCCTCGAAGAGCAGTTGCCCACACCGGAGAGTGCGGGGTGCCAGTACCTGGCAGCTGCACTCGGCCTCGGTGGAGCCGTGCACGGCGCAGCGAGGGCGGCCCCCCT